CTTCTCCCTTTGCCATCCCATCCTGTCCCGCCAGCCGTCAGAAGTAGGCCCCCCCCCCCCGATCCCCACCATTAAGAATTTGGTCCTTATCATTACGGATTTTTTATCTCTGCTCTTGTAGACATGTGTGCTTATTTGAAGCCTCTTGGGTGTGATATTTGCGCAGGCACTGTCTTGTGGCTTTTCAGACTTCAAAGACTCCTAAATGCTATGCAAATTTTAAAACATCTTCCCCATTTAATCTGAGTTTCAGATATTAACCTATTAACAATTTTGAAGTGATGGCAGTAACTGCTTTTTATTATGAATTATTTAAAAGGGTAAACTCGGATATGAATCATGGTGCATGTCTCATTTATTCCAGCTCTTGGAAGGAATGAATAAACTAGCTAAGGAGTTCATCCCGCACTGTACTTTGTCCTCCAGGGAGTAATTGTATTTTCAAACACCAATGTATTCTGTCCATGAATAGGAAAATGGAAATTTTCTCCACTCTACCATGCTTCTCACATAGAATACTCTAACAGGTATCCACTCCCTAAATGATTATATGAGAAATTACTTTGTAGGCAGCAAATTACCTGCCCACCTTCCCCAGACAAGAAAAATGCACCTGTCTCCTTGACTTTATTAGCGGTACCATTATTGGGTGAGTGGGAATCGTGAAAGGGTGGAGGCAAGGGCCCAGGATTGGAAGAACATGCAGCGTGAAGCTGGCTCTGGAAGCCTTAGGGTCTTACATTATTTTATCTCTTTGATGCTTGAACTTGAGGGTGAAAAGTATCCAAGAATGCAAAAAAAGCAAGCCAAAAGCCTGAGGCACATTTTCTTTTGCAGATTCTATGCAGCAGAGATTTCCATTGGATTGTTCTTTCTTCATAAAAGAGGAATCATTTATAGGTGCGTATTGAAGCTCTTCCCCCAGCAGCACAGTTGAGAGGTGTGCCGGGCCTCTGTGGCATATAAGTCCGTGATGGGGACTCAAGACATGGAGTTGATAACCCCTGGGTAACAGAAACCTGCTGGGACTTAGATCTCTCTGCAGCCTTGAGGCAAATCAGAGCCACCTTCTGATTTCTAGACCTCACAGATTTTATGTCTAATCTCTGCCTTCCACAAGAAATATTTTTCTTTCCACTGACAGCTCCTTCTTCCCCCTTTTGTTTGGGATGGAGGTCAGGGAGCAATGGGAACCGAATTTCTGTTATAGATGCTGAGCAGGAGAAGAATATAAGGAACTGGGGAGAAGAAGGAAAAAGCTATTGAATTAAATTATTCCAGTTCTTGGCTGCAGTGAATGTCTGGTGCCAAAGAAATAAGAACATCTTCCAGTATTAATTGAAGAGTAATTAAAAGGACATATGGCACAAAGCAGAAGGAAAGAGACACATGAGTGACCCAATGAGATAGTTCTAAACCCATGATTTTGCAAACATGGCTATGTGTCACAACCCCATGCAGGATATTAATAAATGACAGAGATCTGCCTAAACCTGCTGAATTGGAATCTGTGGGTTCTAAACCCATGATTTTGCAAACATGGCTATGTGTCACACCCCCATGCAGGATATTAATAAATGACAGAGATCTGCCTAAACCTGCTGAATTGGAATCTGTGGATTCACAGGCTCAGCCAATGTTGGGAATAACTAGTTCAGCCATTTAGTCATTCAGTGTGCATTTTAGTACCTACCTTATCCCAGGTATTATTTAGGCTCTGGAGATACAAAAACACAGTAACTCCTAGTCTCTACTCTCTGGGGACTTACAGTTAATATGCCATTGAAGTGACAGCTAGTCAAATATCCTTCCATTTCACCAGCTACAGAGCAAAGTGTGTTATGTCGTAAGAAGAACTCTGATGCTAACCTCCTTCCTTGCAGGGACCTGAAGTTAGATAATGTCATGCTGGATTCAGAAGGACATATCAAAATTGCTGACTTTGGGATGTGCAAGGAGCACATGATGGATGGAGTCACGACCAGGACCTTCTGTGGGACTCCAGATTATATTGCCCCAGAGGTAGGGACCCCAATTCTTCTTGTTTTCTAGACCAGTTTTTTCAAACTACAAACACAACCCCCATGTGGGGTGTAGGGTCACTTGTGAATCCCTAAGACAACATGTGGGTCTTGACCCCAAATAGACTCAACTGGACAAAATAGACTAAAATAGAGGAAATAGGAGAGCTCATTGCACATAGCAAGGCTATGTCTTGTTTCATAGAACTTTTGGTTTTGTTATGTGTGCATGTGAGTCAGTTGCATGGTAAAATGTCCTCCTTACCTGGTTGTGGGCAATATAATTTAAGAAACACTGTTTGTAGGGAGTTGCTTATGAAAATATTCTGCCTGGAAAAGGTGGGTGAGAAGGTGGTTGCCATGATGGCTTTTTGGCAACATTGAGTGATTGGTGCTCTAAACTACGTGTTGCTCATGATGTCTAATCTAGGAAGTACATACAGGTGGGGTAATAAGCAGAATGGTTCCAGGATTTGTACCTTTACAGCAGTGGCCATACTGCTCTCTTTGTTATAACATATATAGAAGACTTTTCTTCCTATTTTGTAAAGCTTCCTACATACCAATGATAGAATGGATCATAGCCCTGTGGATGCAGCCATCTTTTCCTGGCTGAGCTCCGGCATGGTGGAAAGCAATAGATTCAAATCTGGGCCGGCCTGAGCTCTTCATAGAGCCCTCATATTTGCTGTTGGTAGCTTACCCACATTTATTCAACATTGCCTTGTGACCGGACATGTTTATTCAACATTGACCTGCCCCATGCATTTATCTCGGAGTTGCTAAGTGTAGTGGAAAAGACACAAACTCAGAAGTCAGACCAATGTGAGCTTCAATCCTGACTATCATTTACAGGTTATACGAACTCAGACAAATTACTTAACTTCTCCGAACCCCTATGTTTCTTCAGTGGCAGTTGAGGGATAACAATGTCCTCCTTGTACAATTGCTTTTTAAAATATGAACAATAGAGAGATGGTACAGTAAAAAATAAACCTCTTGATGCAATATTTATTCTGAAGCCTTCTACTGACTGACAGGTACTGAGTAAGCTGTGGTTATGAGCTGTACACCTCCATTTAACAACCCACCAGATGCTGTAGAATCTTGAGACAGGCAGCAGCAGCATTTTCAGTAATAAAGGTGGCTTTTAACTTCATCTCCATTAAAACCAGGGCTCTGCTGATCAAATATATAGCATTTTGTGTTCAGTAACACTGTAGCTGTGTGATATCACCAGGGACGACAGTGTCCCACAGAGGAAACATTTTCTATATAATTAAGATTTGTTCATTTGAGTGTCTTGTCTTTTTTGTTCTTTTTGTTCATTATTGTTCGCTATATGAATTTCCTATTGCTACTGCAGCAACCACAAACTTAGCAGCTTACATTAACACAAATTTATTATCTTACAGTTCTGGAGGTCAGAAGTCCAAACTCAGTCTCACTGGGTTAAAGTCAAACGTCAGCAGGGCTGTTTTTTTCTGGAAGCTTTAGGGGAGATCCTATGTCTTTGTCTTTTCCAACTTCTAGAGGCAGCTTGCATCCCTTGGCTCATGGTGCCACCATCTGCCTTCTGTGCAGTGTAGTCTCTTCCGGTCTCTGTCTTTTCTGATTCCAGTCCTTCAGCCTCCCACAGGGATCCTTGTGATTACCTTGGGCCCACTCAGTTAATCTAGGATCATCTCCCCATCTCAAATCCTTAACTTACTTACTTCTGCAAAGTCCTTTTTTTTTTTTTTTTTTTTTTTTTTTTAACCACATAAGGGTAATATAATCATAGGTTCCAGGCATTAGGATGTGCACATCTTTAGGAGAGAGGGGAGATTATTCAATCTATCATGCTCATTATGATGACTTCTATACTGGAGAAACTCCCCACCCTCCTCCACCAGGTATGCCTAAACGTACTTCTAGCATATCTTGGTACTTCAAGCCTCTTCATTCACAGGGAATGATATGCTGTTGCTGTACTTTCTCATATTTCTGAAGACTTAATTCCTCTCCTTATATCCACGTTATTGTTGTATGATCAATACCAAAGGGAGCAGGCACCATTTATTGAGTGTCTGCTATGTGCCAGTCACCACGTATACTTTTCCTCATTTAGTCCTTATAACAGGCCCCCTAAGGGAGGTCACATCAGGCCCATGTTTCAGATGAGGTGACTGAGGTTGTAAGTAATGTGTCTGAGGCCACATTACTAAGACATGCCAGGATTAGGCTTCAGCCCTACACTCAGGCTGTGTCCAGACCTTTGTGCTGCTCACCTCACTGAACTGCTCGAAGACTTGAGCCATTCCCGTGTCCAGACAGCATTCTCCGTACTTACTGTGCCAAGTGTGGCGCCAGAAGGGATACAAAAATACATCACGCAGGGTCCCTCAGAGTGCTTATGCTTTATAACAGGTGGCGTTCCTGCAGATAAGCAGCAACCAAAATCTATGTTTAGATTGCACTTAACTTTTATTGAAAAATGAAATAAAGCAGTCGCACTGCTTTGGGAAATCAATCAATAATAATTTTAGGTTCTTTCACCTTTTGCTAGCATTTTTGCTCATAAGTGTTCAGGAATTTGACATTTTTGGCCACAGGAATACTTTCAGTGTAAAGACTAAACAGGTTCAAGGTTTCAGAATGTGCTGTAAAGTTAAAATAATCCTGTCCTCTGTGTAAATGTTCCTGTCAGGCAAAGGCAAAATAATTATCTTAGATGGCATTTTCCTTAATAGGCAAAGCAGAGGCTTAAATATTTATGGCTATTTGTTCAAAAACCTTGAAATCGATTAACTGTAGCATCACCTTAGCCAGCAAAGAGCAGCTGCAGCGGAAAATGTCACTAACAGATGTAGCGTTGTAGTTGACATGGACACCCACGGCAGGTGCACTAATCAGAAAATGATTCCTCAAGCTGACATTAGGGGTTCTCTTTACTTTGACATAGAAAGAATTCTTTGGGGTCAGTGAGAGTCCTTGAGAAGGCCGAACAACAGCTTTGTCTGAATTTAAACTGCCCTCTGAAAGTTAGTTATTGTAGGCGTTGGAGGTCCGGTCACAAGTCAAGCATCTCCTGGCAGCCCATAATCAGACTCCAGATACCAGCATCTTCCACACTTTCTTGGAAGAAAGAAACACACCAGGAAAGGTACTAGTGGCATGTGTCCCCTCCTCAAGTGGGAAAGAAGCTTCCTTAAACTGTACTGTGCAGGGTGTTTCCTGCAGCCTTGCTATGGTGGGGAGGTGGGTGGTATGATAGACCACACAAAAAAGATATCTCCAGGATGTATCGACTGACTACCCTCTACCAGACCCCCGAGCACATCTGATTTGTCACATTTTATATGTGAGCAGACGGTCAATGACTGGACCAAGGTCACACAGCTGGGTAACAGGCAAAGGTGGGATTTGACCCGAGACATTCTGACCCCAAAGCCCATACGTTCTTTTCAGGTATTGCATTGTCTCCAGAGTTATGGGAGAAAAAGCAGTTAAAAGGAGCACTCCATTATAGACCATCTTTTCTTTGACATCTCTTAGGAGAAGACAGATATCCATCCATCTAAACTAGAATCAGGGGCCTGAGTCCTGAGCAGAGACACAGGCAGAGACTCAGAATTGTATTCCAGCTATTGTTACAGGCAGATCCCTTAGCACCAAGGTGAACGGGCAACATGTAAGCTGCTACCCAGCACATGGCAACAGTCAGTCAGCATATTTGTCAAGAGCCTGCCAAGTGCTGGGCACTGACCTGGGTCTGGGATGCTCAGCGAGAAAAGGGAGCCCAGAGGAGACCTGTGAGGAGGGCCTTGAGGTTAGAGATGGGTGACTGCAGCCCAGGGAAACATGGATTTAGAGAGTGGACCAAACAGTGATTCTCTTGGCAATAACAGATGGCATCTCCAACACAGCTAAAACCACTAGGGGATGGATTTGTGGGCTCAGTTGCCCGCCCTGCAGCCAGCTGCCTATAAGCAGATGGGCAAATTCCTGTGAGGGCTGCAGATTGGATGAGTTCAGAGAACTGTAGACCTGTCCCCAGGCCCAGCTCCTCTGCTCCCACCCCATGGGAATGCCAGCCCAGTGCCAGATAGCTGCATTCTTATGTAAAATTTGCCTAATCGTTCTAAGCTGGCTCTGATATATAGTAAAAGAAATGTATAAAGATGAGATTCAGCCAGTGGGCCATCAGCTTTGACCCCTCTTCTGGAGGAGGTCATAGATCCCATTTTGGGGGAGCCACATATCAGGGATAGGAGGAAAAAAGACCAACGAATGCCCACACAGGTGGAAAAACTCGGGAGCTGTTAGTCTTGGACTCTGAGAAAGGCAAGTTCATGAACTCAGAGGCAGCCAGGGATCACAGAGGTCAATGGGACAGGTGGGGGTGAAGAGGTGCTCCCTGAGAAGGCAGTGTCAATAATACTGATGACATGTAGGTGAGTGTGAGCATCTGCAGTCAGATGGGGACCCCCTCTTTGGGGGAATCTATGGGAAATGGTAGAAGAGAAGGTGGACAGTCACTCCCAGGAAGGCAAGCTAAAGGAAGCATTATTTAAGCTGCAGAAACTTGAGCATATTTCTAGTCCAAAAGGGAAAGTGCCCAGAGACGGGGAGAGAGGATTAGGAGAGAGAGAGAGAGAATATCACATCCCATGAGGGAACAGAGCTGGGGACACACGAGGAATGGAGACCCTTCCTCCTCAGGTGTGGGAAGAAGGTGGGGGACACGTGAGACCTCAGCAGGGCTGGAAAGCTGGAACCTGCCTTCCCAGCTGGTCTCCATCTTCAGAGGGTGCTGCCAGGAGGGGTGGGACCTGCAGGTGGGACATGGTTGGGGTGTAGGTGCTGCAGAGAGTGCAGATTGTGGTGCAGCTGGAGACCCATGTTAGCATCTCAGTGCAGAAGGCTCAGTTGCCTGGTGCAATGAGCATAGGGACTGCTCAGGCTGGGACTCTCCAGGTAAGGCCAGATGCATAGAAGAATCTCCTGGAAGGGACTGGC